AGAAGTGCATGAAATATCACACACAGTAGGAAGGATTCAGCATGTTTCAAATATATTTGTATGGTTTTACTCTCACAATAAATGATGTAGTTACAGCTTGATGAAGTAATGTTAATAAGTCCCAATAATCAATGAGCTCATCAGGACTTCATTAGAAACTATCATGATGAATATTAATTATATTTAATGAACCAATAGCAACTTTATGATCATAACAGATCAGTACACCACTAGTACGGCATTAGATAAGTCAAGGGAAGCTTTTGGAACGTTACCTCGTGTATATCTACGGCTTATGTTAAGTGAAATGTTAAACATAATGATATTAATATATATTCTAACATTAACGCTATGATGTTGCAATAATATGGGAATAATCAGAAATAATATAAAAAGATAAATATTATGACTATAGTTCAAATGTAGGGCTTTGAACGTTTTTTAGATGCGCCTCGTATGTAAAGTAACAAATAGTGCCTTCTGTGTGAATGTGCATTCGGACCACTGTCTTACTCATTCTTCACAATAACATTACGATGTGATGATACAAAAACAATGACTGATAATCACTTGAGTATTCTTAGTTATTACTGGGAAGGCCCCCATTAGCTCATTAATGACAGACATGATTATTGAAACATGTAAGCACATTTATATTAATATTCACATCCAGATGTCTTATTATCAGCTAACAATAGTAGTAAGTTCCTCAAAGGATGTGCAGTCATTTGTGAAGAGCCATGTGTCCACCAGTGTCAATGTCATCCATGTTTTAACCAACTTAAGTTTAACAGCTGCTTTGCTACTAAGCTTCATAACAATGAGTCATGGGTCTCTGCTTCAAATAGTGAATTACACTAAACTAATGATATTAGAATGTATCATTTAGAGAGGGTCTGTATTACTATCAGTCATATCAAGGAGCTGATCATTAGCATGATTTATTCTTTTACTAATAGCTTTAATGAACAATATATCGTCCGTACAGGACTTAGTAACTGATGATCCCTTGGTTTTGGATAATAAAAGGTTGCAGAGCAGAAGTTTAGTTGGTATTCACATTGAAATGATCTGCCTGATTTGTTAAGACATTCCAGTCGATACAAAGTGAGTATTGATTTTGCTTGTTGTCATGTCAATAATCATTAGTTAGTTTGTGTAAGACTAGAGTGTAGAAGGGCTCTCGAACTACTGATAGAGCAACAAAGGAAAACCAGTAATCACATGCGCCGTTACACTAGACAGAGTATAAAAGGACTTCAACAATGAGTGACTGAAGATCACAGCGTGCCAGGAAAACGCTCACCATCCATGGCTGGAAGAAGGTGACTTTGTGACAGCCCTGTGCTGGGGCGGCTGTTGGCCGGATGATCAGGGACATGCTGACCTCCTACGCACAATTAGTCATCTCTTTACACCACTTATTCAACCTTCTAGCAACTTTCCTTCACATTGCTGTTTGGCCGCCCAGGCATCTTCTCTCCCACTCACACACACAGTCAGCAGCCTCTGAACATAATCATTTGTTGTTCAAATCTCCACAAGGGATGCAGATCAAGGGGTTGTTACGCACAGAGCTGCTGATTTCCACAAGGGGGATAGTGTTGAATTTAAACCAAATCAAAGAAACAATTGGAATTAAATGTATTTAAACATGAATACAACAGGCTGTCCTAGATCTGTCTAATTCCCCTTTTACATATTCTAAAGTATAAAGACCACATTTACTCTCTTTCTTGTATTTCAGACCTGATGCTTAGCAGCAAAGCTCAGAGGTCTGTCGACCGTGTTGTTCACTCAAGAGCAAGCTGCTTTTGGAGTTACACATGCTGTAAAATGTGTGCTAAAACCTGCTTTTTCTTCATCATGCCTCTTCAAAAAAAAAAAAATGTTCAGCAAAAAGGTGCAGGAACAGCTTGCACACAGACATGGGCTCTTCTACCAATGCCCTTCTTCTGAAATTGCACATGCAGTGTCACATCAAACAGCCATTATTATCACCATAGCACACCCACATGAAATCCAATGTGTCTTTGCAGAGTTGAACCAGAGCAGTGTTCTCCTGATGTCATTTCTGTTAGGTTTTAATGTAATCCAGGGGGAAAACAGAGAGAAGAAGAGCGTCAGTCACACATGTGGCTTTCTGAAATCACACACGCTGCCTAAATAAACTGTTGGGAAGAAAAACATGAAAAAACAAACTCGCAAAACAAATATCCTCCTCTTCTGTTTATTTGTGTTGTCGTGCCATGAGTCATAAAATATATTTGAAAATGTTTGTCTTTCCACCCCTGCCTGGTTTCCTTTTTGAAAAGAAAATGCATTAATAATAAAAAGAAAAACATATGGTAAACAAATCAACTCTATGATAAGGAAGACTGGAATAATGCATTTGCTCAGGATAAAGGAGAAGTTGCCCGACATGCGGGAAGGAGCAGACGAGGACATGGAGAGACCGGCGCTTAGCTGCTCAGGGAAATAAACAACACAATACATTTGTGGTGCGGACACATTGTATTCGCTCTCAGGTACCAGACAAAGACACAGAAAAACACATTGACCCAGACAAAAAGTTCATATTTACTGAAAATGTGTTATGTCAACTAACACATCCGGATACTGGATGATGTGAGGTTGGTTAGGGTGCAATGCATTCACTGTTAGCTCTTGAGTCATGTGACATATCGTTGTGGTTTACACACACAAGTGCTGGGGCACCCATAAGAACCAACCATACTGTAGGTAAGGTAAGGTAGGTTTATTTATATAGCACATTTTCAGACACAGAGGCAATTCAAAGTGCTTTACATCATCATTAACACTTAACAAGAAGACAACAGAAAGGAACACAATAAATAAACATAATGGAATAACAGATGCATAAAAGAGATACAGAATAGTTTAAAAACAACATTGTAAATACGGTAGGTGCTAAAACAAGTTAAAAGACTTCTGGGTAAGCAGATGAAAAAAGTAGTGTTTTTAGCCGCGACTTAAAAGAACTCAGCGTTGGTGAAGACCTCAGGTTTTCTGGAAGTTTGTTCCATCTGTGGGGACCATATCATGTTCTCTTGACATTATGCATTGAGAGCAGGCAGGGTGCAGGGGAGAAGGGAAGAGATGGGATGCCAAGGAGGACGAAAGAGTGTGAAACTAATTCCTGCCACATCTGGAAAGAATCCCACAAACCAGTTACAGATGTATATGCTTGGTTCATGCACCCTGCCTACTACCACTCTCTCTGCCATGCCCAGCACAGCCTTTCCACAGTGAAACGTGTGGGACTTTAATGCCTTACAGGATTGCAAACTGCTTCTCAAACAGCGCCATCTAGTGGTAGCTGCCTGCATTGATGGTGGTGAATCAGAAAGGAGATATGGCATCACTCACACAGCCATCTGGCCGAGGGAAACAGCTCTGTGGAATCAGAGCCTCATTCATTATTATTTTTTTTTGCCTCATTAACTTTCTGGTCCAAATCCTTTTTATTTGTTGATCCAGGAGCCATAGCAAGTAACCACAATATGCTTTGAACGAGTTCCATCAAACTGCTCAGAAATGCACTTTTATTGAACCATTTTGCTTTCTTTATTTTCTGCATGCAGGGTTAGTTAGCAAATATATTCCACTTTGTGCTCTATGAGGAGCAATTATGAGAATATTAATTACCTACGTGTCCGCTACTAAACAACAACAGAACTGCAGCACGCTGACAGTAGGTGAGGATGAGTCACATGACACAACATCAGCATCGGACTGCAATTACAAACACATCAATTATATTCAGAGGCATCTCACAGGCACACTAAAAAAAACGTGATCTTGTAATCTATCCAAAGGAGAAATTGAATACATGAACATACATATACATGAACTGCATGTAGTGTAATGTGAATAAACATTTGGTAGGGCTGTATTTCAACATGGATCTATGAAAAAGGGCTTGTTGGCAAGGTAACAATCAATGGGGAAATAAATAAACAATACGATAGGAATGAGAGCGAGATGTTCAGATAATATTTACAGTACACCCAAAAACGGATTATATTCAGTCTGATCTTTGCTACTTTCAAAATGATTATGAATGATTAACCAAAAATAAATTAAATAAATATGTATGTGAACACATTTCATACATAGGATATTATATTACAGCAGTATGCAATACATTGTCCAGACCTCTGGTAGTGTTCTCTAATATTTTAAGCAATATAATAAGGCCCTATTTCACTTTAATTACGACGATTTTAATACCCTTTAATATAGTATTTGTCTAATAAATAAGTCCAAACCTGTCACACTAAATTAAAGTCTTGCCAGCTAGGACATTTTCTGAAACATATCCTCATTCACTCACGTTCAAATGAAAAAGTAATTCATATTTGAAGAATAACAAATCATGCAATTTACAATGAGAGGAGAGGATTTCATAAACTCTCCCCTCTTTCCCCCTGGTGGAGTGTGCCAACAAATAAATCAAACATCAACAAGACAGCTCTGCCGCCCGATAATGTATTCTTGGCTGCATCACACACACTATCGTAGCAAATAGTGAGCGCTTCAAAATAACAACCACTAGTGAGACCCATCATGAGACAGACATCTGGCGGGACCGGCTGCATAGTGCTGGCCTCTGTTGCCAAGGAGATACTATGGTGGACAGTAGAGGGGGGGGGGGGGGGGGTATGACGAGAGACACCTAGTTGTCGTCAAATAAAACTCACAGAAGATCATACTCACCTCAGACAACGTGCTGCATTCTGGGGGAGATTTACAAGTTCTCGGGATCATCCGGACCCGAGGAGCGCTGCTGTCAATCACTTTCTGCTGTTGCAGCCCGACAGCAATAGAGGGTTTATTTATTTATTGACAGAATACTCCTTAAATAAGTAATGAGGATGGAGAGCAGTCGTGACTAGCACTGCGCATGCTTTAAAAAACAGACCGATCGCTTCGGTATGGCTTTGCGTTTATCAAAAACACTCACACGGGAAGCAAGGTTACATTTCAGATTTATTGTTTCAGAGTTTGAAAAAGCAGGACAGGGAAACAAGGTCATGCCATCACACTTTCCTACACACATTAAATATAGTGAAAAGTCACATTTTGTACATCAAATAAAGTGCTTCATACAATATGTCTATGACTATCTTTGAAGCATAGCGTTAAGGGAAACTTTGAAGTGTCTGATATATACTGTGCTTTATACAAGGACATGTGAATAGCATTTGACTAAACCCTCCCACATTAACGCTGTGATTCCATATAAGAAACTCAAGGTCATCTTGCGCGCTCTCTCTCTGACAATTACAGAAAGGCCCACATATTTCCCCTGATTGTGCAGGAAGAAAAGCACTTTCTTTGGCACAGCAGAGAGCAGCTCCTTCATGAGAATGTGACTCACATGAAGGAGCCTGGCCTCAAACAAACAAGCAGTTCTCTGTGTCACTTGTGTTGAGCTCGAAACACGTGCAGAAAACGTGAATAAGAGCAATGAATTTGGTTTGGTCTGCTGTGCTGTAAAATGAGGGATTATTTATGGCTGGTAATCCATTCGAGGAGTGGCTGAGGGCTTCTCTGGCTCTGCTTGCTGATAGTCTGTCTGGACAAATACCCACTCTCCTCTTCTGATTTGACCTCCCTCCAGCCATGAGCAGAGGCGCCGACAGGCACGAAACCAGTCAAAGGCCGAGCTCATTCCCCTTGACAGCCACACGGGGCGCACTGGCCCTGCTTACACTGCTCTGTAGAAAGGACTGGCTCCAAGGCTTGTTTCTGCAGGAAGTGGCAAAGCATTAACACTTGGAACAATGACAGCACCGTCCTTAGACACATGAGTGGCAATATGGCTTCTGCAGGGTCACATTGCAAAACAAATCTACAGCACATCTTACTGTTTTTTCAATAAATGATCAAGGTCAAGGTCACAGCCACGCCTTTAAGAGAGATGTTCAGATTCATGTCCTGCTGCCATTGCGCCACTGGGTGTCAGTGTGGTGACATGTTGATACAAGTCTCCAAACACATGCTGTGTGGTGCTGTTCTTCACCCTCCCCTGCTGCATTTTCATCCGTCATTCACGCTTTTATCTTCCACCCCTGCTCACCTGAGTCTGTCTGCGCGGGGGCCGCACAGGTTGGTTGTTCGGGTGGTTGGGCGTCCACGGGCCCTGGCTCTGATTGGAGTAGAAATCCATGGGGTAGACTTCTTTCCAGGAAGCCTCCTGTAGAGCCACAGCTGCCTGAGAGAGAGTGAGACGGATAATTACAATGACTGTGAAAATGAAAAAGAACAAGGAGCTGTAAAAGTGAAACATATCCCACTTGAATGAAAGTACACAATTCTGCTGTTTCTTTCCTTCCTGTTATCTATGAGTTCATTTGCAGTTTTTGGGCAAAGCAGCTGCAGGAAACCACACAGCGGTGAGTCGTCGCAACAGACAAGACAGGTGTCATAATATTAAGCTTGGATAACAGGCGGAGTTGTCATGTTATCCCTATGCAGCTGCACTGCATGACACAACAGCTGTTAGAGGGGAGCAACAGCAGCACAGGCATGACAGTGCAGTGACATACGTGCAGGCTGCTCCATATGGAAGACAAGTGACTGGGAATATTGATTTTGAATGAAACAATGAGCAGCTGAATGCCTGAACAGATGAATAAACAAGCGTGCTGAATGAACAGACAAATCGTTTGATTGTTCATTTACTCATCCTATCAACTTCTCATTCATCTTCTAAACTAGTGAGATCTTCAGCTTCACACAAATAGGTATCATTTGAAAATCGCTATTCTAATGGCACACAATTCATCACTGTGTCTGTGTGTAGTGACTGTGGTTTATTTTTGTTAGAATGGTGTCACCATCACTGACAAGGTGGTCATCTCCTTTATCCTGGCTGCTTCCTTAAATATTGAAACTCACCTCAAACATGCTTTTTTTTCATCTTTATATGAATAGATACAATACATCTTGAAACCAAAAGCAGTAGAGATAGAGACATTGTTTTCTCAATTAAGTGTGTGGAGATTTGTTAACGGCACACTACGTATGTTGGTGTATATGCAGAGCAGTGTAAAATGTAGCTGATGTATGTGTCTTTGAGGAATAACAACATAATAACACAACTTTCCCTCTTCATATCCAGCTATTAAAAGCGGCTAAACTAAATTCCACTACTAGGATCAATCTTTCAGCACATTTGTTTTGCCTTTCCTTTTCCCAAACAGTCTCCTCTGCCCTTATTCCACTCCTCTAATTTCTTTAGCTTTTACCCACTGCTCTCCTCCTCTCCCCGCTCACTCTCTGAGAAAGCTAGCTTCTCTTGCTAATCCCTGCTCTGACAGAAGAGCCAAGTGTGTCTTATTGACTATAAATATAACATGAGACGCACTGAAAATAAATGCTGCTGCCCCCCCCCCCCTCACCCTCCACTTGCTCTCTCCATCTTGTCCCTCTTTATCTTCATTGGAAATGCCACAGTGAAAAGCACAGTGTACTGAGACGTATACCACTCATAGGTATGAGATAGGGGTGAATTAAGAATGATCATAAGCACACATAAGCACACAGACACAAGTGCAACTGCAAATGATTGAAATGCACAGACATTGTTCCCAAAAAAGCTTGAAGGAAGAGAAAAAGCCAGCTCTCACAAAAAAGGCTTATGGAAACAGATTGCTGCTTTCCTCATTACAGCGGGGCACATTTCAGACTCTGCAAAGCAACAACACAATAATCATCACTTTTTCTTCTTAGGTGAATGCTTACATTATTCAAAATGGCCTCATTTTGAAAAGTATGTGAAGCGCGAAGATGTGTAGTCATAGAAAAACAGCAACCATTTCAGATCACGGCAATTCCCCTGGCGACCATTTCACAAGGATTCAAATCAGTGGCATGTCTTTGAGGGAAAAATCATGAAATTAATAAATAATCAAATGCTAAGCAGCCGAGTCACATAATGGCACATAACTGCCAAACCCATCACAAAGTGGCTGCAGCAGCTGGAGCGGCACACCAACAAACGGTCGCTCTGAAATGGTTCTTATGGGTTACTGTCCGATTTATCTCTCCCCCCTTAGAACAACACGACAGCTGCAGGGGTGGGTGGGGGGGGGGGGGGGGGGGGGTGTGTGTGGTCCCGTGTCCAGTAGGGGGGGCTAGTCTTCTGCTGATGCTGTTTTTACGTGTGGCTTTGCATTGTGGAGCACTGATAGAGGGAGGGAAAGGAGGAAGAAGAGCAGCAGGCGCAGATCCTCCAGCACATCAGGCCTTGATAAATCACACACAAATTCACAAACCCTTCTCTGCACTTAATGTTGTTTCAGTTTCCTTATCTTCGGGGCTTTGATGAAGGCTTCAGCGGGGTATGTCAGGGGGTCTGTGTACGGGCTGGAGGGTCTGCGTGTGTGTGTGTGTGTGTGCATTCTATGAGCCTTCTCTGAAAAGTGAGTGACAGCTGTGATTTTGCTGAGAGACTTCAAGGTGCATGTTGTTTACCTCGTATGGAGACAGCAGGGGCTTGGAGAAGGCCGAGCCCCAGTCGATAGAAAGGCGCGGACAAGCGATCTGGATCCACCTGTAGGGCAGAAGAGGTACACATTTGTGTTTTGAATGAACATCCATCAGTGAGTGCAAATGTGTGTGTAAAACAGAAGCAGTCCGAAAAGGGCGTGAGCCGGCGATCCTATTGGACAGGCAGGGCACATCTGTGAGTGCTCGCTGCGTGTGGATACGTGATGCAGGGAGCCTCCCTCCACCGGATCTCCAGCATCTGTTACAGAGATCTGTCCTGATTTGCAAGGGTTAGACAGCCAAGCTACACAGTCTGAATGCATAGCCAGCAAGAGGGGAGGCTGAGAGAGAGAGGCGGGAGTGAGGTGGTGGTGGAGAAGGAGGAGAAAGGGAGGAGGGGGGGACTGGTTGCAGGAGGCATAAACAGAAAAACAGAGACAGAAGTGAACAGAGGTGAAAAGAGGAGAAAAGGCAGTGAATGAAAAGGAGGGAGGGGTTAGGTAAGTGTGAATAAAAAAGCAGCACCAGCCCGGTCTCCACGGAGGTAGCCTACATAGGCAGGCAGACAGGGTGGTGGTGGGGGGGGGGGTGTGAATGGGGGCTGTGTATGAAAGAGATGGGACGAGGAAAAAGAGGAGGACACAGATATACAGAGATAGGGAGCGATGAAGAATAAAAACAGAAGGAAGGGGGGTTGAAAAGGCACAAGGAGAGAAGAGAGGAGGGAGATTGGCAGCGAGAAACGTGTTTACTGTGGAAGATGCACGAGAGAGGGATAAGGAGGATGTAAACAGCTGGAGGGGAAAATGAACAATGCGAAAACGGAGACGGAGAGGAACAGCCGGGGCTAAGGGGGGGTTAGCTTTCACAGATCAATGCTATCCTCAGCTCCATCTCCACTCAGGGAGATGACCCTACCTCGTCCCTAATCTTACTGATTGAGCTCCATCAGAAATGGATTGCAGTTCATATACTGTAGAAGCCCAGGAGAAAATGTTAGATCTTGGTAAATGTCAAAAGCAATAGATCCGTTTGAGGATAGGCGAAGGGGTATAGTACAGCAGCATATGGAAAGCAATGAAAATATGCTTGAATACTTACACTCAAAATCCCCATCTGTCTATTCCAGTGACGTGCGGTGAGGTTCATGGCTGGTGAGGCACTGACTCTTTCAGAGTCAGATTTACAAATATTATAGCCTATTTTGACCTTAATCAAAATATTCTGTTATTTTCAAAAGCTTTTTTAGTCTGATGCTATGATTAACTTTAAACAGACCGATCAACAAAAGGATACCCAAAATCTAAATATTGGATTGTTCTTTCTTAGTAAGATCCCATTTTCATTACAGTTGTGGTCTTACAGTACCTTGACTTGAAGATGAAGTCCATGCTATCCTTCTGGACAACAATCTCTATTACTGTTTTGTAAAAGTCCTCCGTATCTTCCTGTAGTTTCAAAAGTCTAGTTTGTTGTTTGCGGTAGAATAACAGTAGCAACAAGAACCTGTGGGCTCACGTGCGCCCCCTTCAGTGCGGCAGAGGTTATGGCTGCCTCCCCTGGTGCTTTTTCATTGCCGATGAGACCAGCGAGCCTAAATATCATATATACGTGAAATAAGTTATTTAGAGACTATGGATGGCGAGGATAAATGTAATAAAGGGATCTACAAACATTACATTGGTGACCTACAGTGAGATGGGAACAGGCATGCGCTTAGGGCCCGCTTTCCAGCCAGTTTCTGTGGGGTGACGCATTCTGAGGTGAGGCAGATCTCATCTGTGCCTCACCTCAGCCCACAGTAAATGGCTTGAGCGCGCTCACAAAATAAGTGGCCCCGCTAAATTAGTGCCCGCGCTCCAGCAAGTTACTGTGGGCTTACGTGAGGCAGTGCTCGTCCCTGCCTCACTTCTCATCGCTCCCGTAGCGGAGCTCGGCAAATTTGCTGATTTTGACTATAAAATGCAATTGGAATCATACAGAAATCACATTTACACAAGATCAGTGGAGACATTTTATTATTATTATTATTTAGTTTTTCTTTAATTGTTTTTCCGTTACATTGGAGTATGGCAGGTGAGGCTCTGCCTCCCCTGCCTCCACTGACTGCACGTCGCTGGTCTATTCTTCATTTTCCAACTTTTCCACAATTTTCCAACTGCAGAATTGATTGCACCGCTGACTCTCGCTCCCCTCTGCTTTCTGTCACAGAAATATTCCACCCCCCCTGGACATAAGCATGCCATTTACTCGTCTTCAAATAAAACGTATCTCGCCAAAAGTGTGAATTATTATTCATCCTTCTAATTTGAGAGGAAAACTGAGTCAGAGACATGTGCACCAATCTCCTCACACGTGACAAGTTGAGATGGAGAAGTGGAATCTGACCGGTGAACTTGAAATCTATCAGCACCTTTTCATAACCTGAACCCTTTTAAAGGTCACCTATTATGCAAAATCCACTTGTTCATGTCTTTTATACATAAACATGTGTCCCCTCTGTGTAAAGAGATTCTGAAAGTTTCAGGAACAAAGATTCACTCACTTTTTGTCCTGATCCATTTATATAAAAACCTGTCTGAAAATGAGCTGATCAGATTTTGGACACTTTATGATTTCATAATGATTTTTTGGCTTGTGTAACCATTAGCCAATCACCCACCTTATCACCTGAATCTCCTCCTAGAGTACAGTGTGTTCTTTTTAACCAAATATCTCTCAGAGGGGCGTGGGGACTGGCTCCTTATTTTCATCTAAAGTAACAGACACAGAATCAGCACTTTTGAAACAGGGCTGAAACAGAGGGGATTATGGGATGCTACAATGATCTGTTTGGTATTTCAGCCAAACATTTCAGAGACACGTTTTGTATATATCTGAGACCTATAATATATTGATGAAAAACAGTATAATAGGGGACCTTTGAGAGCCAAACACTGCACATGTATCAAAAACAGCTTCTCAAAAAAAGAAAAATGTTGCAGCTGCCATTTGTGACTGCACATAATGTGAGCAGACGAGTGTTTACACTTGTGCTGTATGTATAGTGTGTCTATGTGTGGCTGTAAAGAACATATGCTTAAAAGAGAGAGGGTGACTAATAAAGCAAAGCAAGACTCTAAACTCAACACTTAATCCTTGAGGATTGAGGGTCTGAGAGAAAACTAAGACAGAAAGCATGAAAGGGAAGGCAGAGAGGATTCCTCCTAAGAAGCAGAAAGCTGACTGTTCTAATATTAGCACAGAGACTGACTGAATAGTGCAGTTCAGTAAAATGCATGGAGCCATGCCAGGTACTGCCCTCCAGAACGTTGTCCAAATTGTATTTCCAGCCCTTACCTGGCCTTCAATTTAGCCGGCACAGTACAGATCCCCAAATCATGGGGTGCATTGGAACAAAGAGAGAGCTGGAGGAAAGAGATACACAGACAAAGGAAAAATGTGGGCTTTTATATCTGGCAGTGGAGCCTTGTTTCACAACTTATTCCCAGCGAAGATTAACAGATATAAGCAACTCATGAATAGGACTTTGAGTTTTCTCTACAGGATCTGTTTTTTTTGTTGTTGCATAAAATAAATCCCTTAGACACTAGACGTAGAAGAATGGCTAGAGCAGGATGCAGTTCTGGTGCTGCGATATATAAAAGTAAGGCTGTGACATTTAGCACTGCTTTGCTTCGTGAGCTGCATCCCTGGCCTCACTGCATTGCCTGCTGTGGCCCATTACACCCTGACACTGTTAGGAAGACCTCCACCTGCATGGCTTCACTTCAACTACACTCACAGTTTTGACCCGCCAAAAGCAGGAACAATTAACCTGCGCTGCGGTACTGTGTAAAATGCTCACCTTTTAATGACGGTGCACCTAATTAAATTAGAACAAAGAATTTCATTTGAATGAAGTCAACAATTCAAATTGGAGCAGAAAGATAAAAGACTGCAATGCACTGGGTGGCATTTGAAGTCTAGTTGAGATAAGTGTGTGGGGTGTACAGATATATGTACTATAGTTTAAAACCTGCTCGGGGACAGCCTAATTACACACTTAAGAGCATATGCTAATGCTGTCTCTGTTTATATGAGTGAGTATGTGTGTCTAATGACAGAGAAAGCCTGGGGGTGGACTCTGTGCCGTGCGCTGTGTTGGCTGGTGCTGAGCACTAATGTGTTCCTCTACCACCCTCCGTCTATCTCTCAATCGCCCCCTCTCTTCCTTCTATTAATCCTTCTAAACAGTCGGGTTCAAAACATTTTCCCCACACCTGGTGGTTTCTAATGTCTGGTTCAGAGTAATGCGGGATACCTGTGTTCTTCCAGATTTCTCTAAGGTGTGTGTGTGGGGTAGGAAACAACAAGAAAAAGAGGAATTTAAGAAAATACAATTTACTCTGTGATGTTTAATCTGAATAAACAGTGGTTCATGATGATTACAAAGTTATTAGTAAGTCATAGCTTCCAAAAATAAACCTTCAATTTCTACTTTCATCTCTTACCCAGAATATTTAAAGAACGCTTAAAGGTCCCATGACATGCTTTTCTGGTTATTACCCGTCCCCTTGTGTTATTAGCTTTTTCTGCATGTAAACGGTCTGCAGAGTCACAAACCCTCATAGTACACCCTGTAGCGAGTAAAACTAAAAACTAAAAAAGACCTGTCTATGCTGCCCCAGAACGCCTCGTTGGAGATTTCTCTTTTTCTTCCTGGGTACAGTGACGTGACCATACCCAAATGGAACCATTGGTCCAAATGGACCAATCCGTGGAGCTCCTCACACACACACACTCTCTCAGCAGCGAAACTGTGGCGCGCTTACACTGTAGGTGCGCCGCGTTTGGGGGTGCGGGTGCTAGTGGAGCCTCGCAGATGGGGGTGCTGCAGCCCCCTCAGCACCCCCCCTTCCTGCGTCCATTTGCGATGTCTCGCTGTCTCGCAGACCCCACGCAGCAAGCAGGAAATGAACCAACCAACGTCCCGCCAACACGGCACCCACACCCCACGCAGCATTCTCATCTGTTTGTCATTACTGGTGTCATTTTCTGGTTGCTAACAAACGCCATTGTAACACATAATCACTGATGTTCCGCTGTAACGGTGGTGGACTCATCAGAACAGAGTGGGCGAGCTGACCAATCAGAGCACAGTGGGCTCATAGGGAGGGGGGGCAGGAGCTCCAACAAGCCGTGTAGGACAGAGAGTGAATACACATACTATACAGAGATGCTGTATGAGAAACCAATGTGATTTTGGAACATTGAACAATGTAAATCTATTCTAGTAGACCTCAACAATGGAATTATGATCAGTAGAAATGGCCATGTCATGAGACCTTTAAAAACAACCAATGTTGTTTAACATTGACAAAGCAATGGCCTCATATAGAGCTGGAAATTGAACATTACTTTACCTTTTTAGCATCTATTGAAATATGGTTGTTCAGATTATTTTTATGATGTAAATAATAATATGGTAAATGTTCTTTTTTAGATATAGATTTTGATGACTGCATTTAAGAAAGTTTATATTTATATCTTTCCAACATGTCTTCATTTTAATCCTTTAATTTAAGTAGATATATGTGAGAAATTGTCAGAATTGTAGAGGAATTCTTGAGATATGGCCTTAAATGTTTTTTGTGAATTTAGACACAGTGACACAAATCTTTACCAAATGTAAAGACAATCCCTCCATGCATTATTTTAATATCAGGATCTGTAGGACGAACGTACCTACAGATCGATGCACAACCCGAGAACACATTGTCTCGGCAGTGGTTGTTGCAGGTGCTGAGGCATGAAAAGGGATTTGTATATACATGTTTATACTAGGGATGCTCCGATCGCCAATTTTGGGGCCGATCGCCGGAATCAGTATCGGCCGATACCGATCGCCTATCCGATCGAGTGGGTGGGGCCTATGGGGATCTTCCATTTAAAGTGATGTTTAAAACTCAGTTAATGGGGCTCATTCACTGGCGCTTCCACAAACAACAACAACCAACATAATTATTACATTCAAATGAAGTACATTATTCAAGTTTACATTAACTTGGGATAATAACATGGGAGAAATTAGCAGAAGCGCTCTCTTTTCCTCTCTCCCTGACAGCCTGTCAGTATCTCCTGCAGCTCACTGATCCAGTAATGAGTGACCAGACAGTGAAGAATACATATATTTATAACTAGTTTAGCTTGTTCCAGAGGTAGATAAAATAGCTAAGTGTGTTAGTTTAACATTTTAAAGTAAAATGCTTCAATCTGGTGCACTTTGAGCAGAATTACTAGAGACTAGATCGAGGGGGTACAACTCTAAACACCCATATGAAAAAGATCGGTTTACATTTTAATAATCAAATATTTATGTGAACATAACCAATAACCTACCATAGCCAATAACAAATACATGTAACGTATTTTATTTTTGTTGTTCATTCATATCTTATTTTACCTAGTTAACATTTATTTATTTATGCATCTTTTTAATATCTCCAGTTTTTAAACAATATTTTTGGTTTACTGTCCTATAGTATACATTGGAATGATTTCAAACCTGTTTATCCCAATAATTATAAAGGAGTGCCTTGGAAATATGTGTTTGAGACCACTGAGATAACTTGGACTAAAGTGAACTATCTAAACACTCAGAGTCCTTTACCTCACTGAGCTGTAGTTATCAGCCTCAATCCAACAACAATCCGCGGTACCGATGCACGCCCTCTCTCTCTCTCTCTCTCTCTCTCTCTCTCTCTCTCTCTCTCTCTCTCTCTGAGCTGCGGGCGCCTGATAAGTCAACATCCCCCACTTTCCTCACTTACAGCGCCCATCATACAGGGCACATGAAAAGTGTAACCGGGGTGAAAAGGGTGTTACATTTACTTAATTATGAATGTTGTTACATCAAGGCTGAAAATTAGGATGAGCCAAACAGTCAAAAAAGTTTTTTTCCTCCCAGAACTACCAGCGCAGTGCCCCACCCAGATCTGGCGCCCTAGGCCAAAGACCGGCCCTGTCTAACTTGAAGTATGTGTTTTGCTCCGCTCACCGGTCCGTCACAGCGGGTGGAGCTGCAGGATTTCTGCTTCACATACGTTGCATACCGCTATTTTATTGTCATTAAAATACTACCAGACTGGTGAAGCCATTTTGGCGAGCTTTTTTTGCCGTGCACAGAGAAAAGTGTCATGTATTTTACGTCATGTGATTGGCTCTCACGATCGACAGAGAGTGAATATCGATCGGAGCATCCCTAGTTTATACCACTCAAATTGAGATATAAGTATTGTTTAAAGAACATTATAGGAATTTAGGAAGGATGTCGTCAGTTTTTGTAGAATCTGTTGATGGTAATTGTGGAGGCTTTGGTACACAGAGGTGTGGACCCCATTTGTATAAATAAAAATAGATTAAATATAAAAACAGTGTCCAACAGTATATGCTTTATTAGATGGCTGTTAGTAAGCCAGGTGTACCTACCAAACCTTTTCTATCTCTTTTTCTATCAGATACAAAGTACACCTTTTTGGATTGAAACACTTTTGTTTTCTTGAAATCAATACCACAAATGCTACTGAAGCAGACCTTGATGAAAAGCTTCTATAATGAGGGTTTGTTTTGGTTGGGAGAATCGTGCCGGACTTACATAATATTGGAGTTGCACTCATACGTCAGTCTGAAGAGGAGAACCAAAAAACAAAGAAAAAATGGCTTATACCATGATCACTCGCTTTCTAAACAGCCCCCTCAACTACCTCTGCATAACTCTCTCCAACTCACTCTCAATCTCTCAGACCTTCTGTCCTTCTTTCACCCACTCCTCCCTCACACATCACACTTCTCATTACTCCACAGTGAGAGGCCAATCTGAGGGAGTGTGAGGATTGTGTGTGTGCCTGTGTGAGTGTGATTGGAGCTCCGGCACATCAGTGTCTCACTAAACCCTTGTCCGTCTTTCACCTCTGTTCCTCTGGTGCGACTCAGATAAATTGGAGAAGCTACACCTGGAAGCCTAAGCAACTTGATATATCGTTGAAGAAACATGAGCGGTTCAGTTTTTTGAATACCGTAACAAGTGTTGCTGGGCTGGATAACAGCGTTTAGTGTCAGGGTATAGTTCAGATCCTGCCACTGCGATTATCATGTATTACAGGAGCAATGTGTAATACATGTCTAAAGGTTTCAAAGAAAAAAGGAGACGGCATATAACGTCTACTACGGGCTCCATACAATCTACAAAAAACAGTATTCAGTTCTTCCTAAAACACACATTTTGTGATTCACCATGTCCTCTCAAGGTACAAGTGGTATTACAAGACGGAACAGATTGTTAAGCATGCTCATTTAGTAGATTTTCTCTTCAACAGAACTCGTAAGTTGCTTTGACAGCACTATACACCCTTCACATTCTGTTAATAATGTTAGTACATTTTTGGCATGTTTTAAACAAAATATCTGCCCATATCTTCCACATTACCCCTTAATGGACAAATTAATAAGCACATCTCAAGTAATAATCAAATATTTCGTGAGGGAACGAGTAAGTGTTAATTATTTGTGATGGGTTCACAATTTCCTTGTCACAATTTTCATCGTCATAACTACACTGTAGCTATGTACGTATGACTAATAAAAGCCTTGCACCTTGAACCTAAATAAGTTCAAAGTGTTAACTAAGCACATTATTTAAGTATTAAACTCTGCTCTCTTTGCCCCCTGTGTCAGAACTGACGATTTGTATCAAGCATCCAAGTGAATCAAGCTGGACTCTTTGGTTTTGCTACAAAGTTAAAACAATGGAACCTCAGCAAGACTTGAATGCAAATAGTGTTTATGAAGGCATAAACTCCAGACTTCTGTGTGTCAGCTCCTTGTAACAGTGTGGACTTGCACATTATGCTGAATCCCAAGTTATGTGTGCAATGATGCTTACAGAATACATTTCAAAAGTTGTTGATTGCAATTTCTAGGTGACTACTGATCATAACAGCTCTGCCAGCGTCCGTGATGTGAAAGATAAATGAGCCATTGTTTAAAACAAAGAAACACAGCCGTTGTTAAGAAATTGCAAATCATGAAAACAATGAGCCAAAGGGAGAGAAGTGCTGTGAAAAGAAACAGAAGTAATGGGAGGAAGACAATACAAGTAATCCACACTTTCAGGCTGGAGAAGCGATATGGTGTTGTGAAAAAGGAAAACAATACACTGTATCAACAAGACTCAAAAGCACTGTAAGTGTTGTCAGTGAAAATATCAAAATGTCTGGCTTCTGCCACCTAATATTGTTATTGTATTATTGTTTAAGTATATGTGCCTCTTAATACTCACGCATCTATATCTTGCATCAGATCCAGCTTTCCCGGGAAAATCTCAGACAGGAGCAACTCGAGTTGAAGGCTTCCCAAGACTCGAGCTTTGACTCCAGATGCTAAGAAGAACAAGAAATTAGATAAAAGGGCCAATGATTAGGTTTGCAAAACAAACAAGAAACATCACTCTATCAAGGGTTTTAAACTAAAGAATATCAAATGATATGTCACAGATCACAAAGCCCATGACGTCCGCCTACTAAGCTTCATATGTCAATCCTTCTGTTTTCTGACACAGTTTACTGGTTGGTGATAGCAAAATAAGCAAGCTAGCAGATATAATGTTTTCCTCATCCACGTCAATCGATTTATCTTGGAAATGTAAGCCGTCGAGAAAATTCTTGGTCTACCTCTGGATCTCCTTCCAATTTTGGAATAGTCTGCTTTAGTAGGCCTCAACCACCTCAACGGGCTCTTTCCAGAGTACCTTACAGATGTTAAATCTCCTCACCCAAGCCAGTAGGCCCATGTGGATCTGGTCCCACTTGACTTCCTCAGATTGAGTTTAATCGTGCCCCTTGTGTAGAAGCCCAGACAGTATGCGTTATATAACATATCAATATATGAAACAGATGATCCTGTTCAAGGAACTCTCCTGCCTTGCTGTCGCTGCCTATAAAGTTGTGGGTATTGGTACTTGGACTGAGGTGTTGTTCGGAGTTGCAGCCAAACCAAGTGAAGAAAGCTCAGAAATGTTCCATTGGTGAGATAAAGGTATGGGATTTGCTGATATCCACTGTCCTTGGGAGTATCATGAGCCATTGCTACAACTGTGCTCTTATCAGCGATAGCTCTGTCTCTTTACTTGAGAGATTATCTGACACTGTACTATTTAATCTCAACAGATCGCTATGGAAGAGTTGGTGGGTCTTTTTATTCATTTTAGTCCATTTTTTCAATCCATCGTCTCCTTCCACCCTAAAATCAAACGTTGCACTCTCTATTGGCCATATAGTTTTACTGTACACCAATGTTAACTTAAGTCTGAATATGTACTATCAGGAGACATGCATCAATAGGTCTAAGAACGTGTGCTGAGTGACAAAACCTTGTTGTGGATTTGTTTGAAAAACTTTTATATCTACGATGTCCGTGCAACTAACCAAGCATACAGGCAGGATTATGTTTTTAAGATGAACTAAGATTAAAAAAAAAAAGAAGCCCCTTGGCCAACTCAATGTTCATTGATTCACGGCTAAATAAACTAATACAAAATAGAATATGTATGTATTTAATGAATAAATAAAAACATAAATGTAAAAAAGGCATAGTTAATATCAAAGTTGAATCTACAACAGTACAACACAAATAAAATAAGAGCTGAAGTGGGAATGAAAGAAAGGAAAAATAATTATAGAGTATTTTCAGTTTTTCACTCAACACAATAATGGACCAGTATCAGCATCCACACATTGTTCTGTTTGGCACTTTCAAATCACGATTAGCAGTTTGGAGTCAAACTAATTAATTTGTGATTTGAATTTCTAATGTACTAGAATTGTGCAACGTCAATTAAAAGAACCACAACTTCCACTAATGAACAGATTTTGTACAATATTTGTTAACCTTTTAAACATTGACTTACGATTATTTTTCATTATCACTGCTAAATCGATAATAAAACATGCTTAAAATCGAAATCCCTGGGACTAACACTTCAATACAGCCAAAGAGGCCAACAGTGAGATCAATGATAGGCTTTGCTATGGCTGTCTGGCTGCATCATTCTGAATGTGTAAATAACAGTCTCTGAGTGTGAAGACTGCTTGTCCTTTCAGTATTTCATGACTCCCAACGACTTGTCAGAGAAACTGACTTTGATATAAATATAGCAAGCTATTGCACAAGTAGCCTCAGTACATGCAGAGAGTCAAAATGAAGATGCAGATGCTTACCTCCATGACTTTAGGGCTGCCCTGCCGCCCCAGCGTGCCCATGATCAAGCCCCATCTCTGGGCCGATCGAGCCTTATCAATAGCCTGGAGCCTTAAGGCACGCATGGCTTCGTGGTCATAGTACTCCCTGGAAAATACTTTACTGTAGGGGTCATATCTACGGACAAACACAGACAAGAAAAGGCGAAATGTAAATGGAAGATGTGTAGAAGCATAAACAGACAAACCATATTATAGCCATTAAGAACTGTTCTTCATTTATCTATCCTGAGGATAGGAATGCAAAAAAAGATGAAAAAATCCAATCATGAAAAGCCATCAAGTATGACAAGAGTTAGTGTATCTTAGGAGAAATGGAGGTATTTCTGAGCATCTAATCACCTTCTCTCCGGTACAAGGAGTAGACTTGAGATTAGAATCTTGTTTATGAGAGAGACCTGTGATCTTTGCAGCAGTGCGTATGTCTATAACGGCACAATCTAGCCTTGCATACAAACAAGACCTCATCAAAAAATGAATGTAATCCTCACAAAATGTTATCATGACACTGCGAAAAGGTGAGTGATCATGAATACAAAGGATTATTTAATGTGAATAATCCTTTTCTATGCATAACATATTTCACGGGGATCCAAGGAGGTGATCACATTATTTGACTTGTGGAATGGCCTAGCTTTCTCCTTAGTTTACCACCTTTGCTGTTAGATTACTTATGAGCTGTAATGCAAATTGACCACAATGAACATTTTGTACAATATTTTTGCAGTGAAATAACAAATATTGAGCAAAAGTTATTTAACTTTGTTTATACCTGTAGGCAGGGATTTCTGGGTTGGCGATCATAATTGACTCCAGGTGAAATCTTCCATCGCCCAGATAACTATAGAAAAAAAAGATCAAATCAGTGTTAGAGGTAAGTGACGTTATTTGTGTAAAAGACCCCATGTAGACAATAACATGCAATGTACAACCAGAATAAATACTGGCCTTTGATTCCCACTCTCTCTTTATAGCTCTCTCTCTCGCGCTCTTTTAAAATTCATTCCTCTCTGTAGCCTTTTAACTGAAGACCAAAGTGCTACCAGCCAGAAGGCCTGAGGCTGGGGTGGAGGTCCTGCCCATCTCTGCTCTACGGGGACATGACCCCAACGATTGGAGCATGCTGTTTACAGAGAATGCAAGCCCCTCCAATTAACCCAGGGTCTGGTGCTGGGGATTCACCAGAGCCCGAGCAGAGGCAGAGTTCACAAACCGGAGGCATGTAGGATGCTGAAAACACAAGCTCAGGCAGAACACTCTCATATATCCATCCCTCTCAGTGTCAGATTGAGAAGAATCCTGCTGATACTGTGAGAGGGCTCGGGTCGAACCCCCTACTCATAGCTGTTCTTGTCAGTCTCAGTTGGCCTAATGAAACAGGATATGCAATTAAATCCACTAATTGGTCAGCGTTTAGAGCAGCATGATGCTGTGGGTGGTTTGCCATGCAGCCTACCTGGAGACATTTCTATCCAAGACTTGATTTTCAAATGTGTTTGTGAGAAAGCCCACATGTATGTCTCACTGTGCGTGTCACAACAATGACCTCGAAAAGAGCCTTTTTCTTGTCCTTTGCTTAGCAACATCCAAAGCACTTATTATAGTTAAGTACACAATGAATCTGGTGCACTATAGCCAAGGTTGTCCTCAGCTCTCTGTAGCTTTAAGAGGCTGGTGTACTCAACTCTCGCTCTCCCTACGATCACCGTCCATATTCTATTATTCTTTGCAAAAGTGCTCTCTAATGGTAATGCGTTATGCAACACTGTATCCTCACAATCGCATCTATATATTGTTATATTACGAATGAGAGCCACGGCAGAGGCAGCAGGTATAAATGATAGACTGATCATGGCTCTTTTCAAAACAGCTTCTGAAAAGAAATGTGTTCATTATAGAAAAGAACAGACCAAACTTTAGAGCTTGAAGATTGGCCTCAGACACTAAAACACCAACTCGATCTGCATAATGGTGAGGTAGCTCGACATTTTCTTGGAGCACTTACACCTAATTAATGTACGTAAAAAAAACGATGTTAAATAAGAGGTTAGGGTACCATTAAAGGTGATAAACAAAACCGCGTACACAACACCTTGTTCTCTGCTGTTGTTCTTAGAGACAGTGAATAATCAATGATGTCAATACCTTAATAGTGATCTATTAAGGTGAAAGGAAGCTTGTTAATAGCACACTATTAGACAGTACTTAAGATTTGGATGCATTTTCACAGCTTAATAAAACATGTCTTCCAGGTTTAGGTTGCGTTTTATTGTTATTTAATCCTTTTCTTTTAAATGAATGTATTATTTATAATTTATATTCTATTATATACATGTAACTATTTGATGCGGGAACATGTTTGATCCATAATGTCATGCCAACAAATGTCAAATGAAAAGAGATTGAGACAAAAACAACGAATCAACTCTCAGTTGAATCGATTCTCCTTACCAGCAAACCACTACACACCACTACTCACACATCAAAGACAAACCACTTGGGATTAGTAGGTGAAAACCCTAACCCTTCCACTTCTTTCACACACACACATCACTTTTGTCTCCCATAGGGCCAGGCTTATGCATATAGCAACGCTTGTCCTTGTGTAGCCATTTTAATCTTATGCACTGGGAGGTTTTAATCACATGGACTAACACCAGATGTGTGCAGATAAGACATACCGGGCGATGCACCGAGACCTTATTATACCCGGGGAATTACTTCAACTCACTGTGTGCACCACACGGCAGAGGATTCTCTCTACTATTGAGCTGCACCAGATGCAAAGACAAAGTGGCTGCGGAGGTGTTGTTTTCTGAACATGTTGCTTTGCCAGAGCACTCTCCTCTTTGCAGTACTGGGAGGATAAGCAATCACTTTGACATTTCTCATATGCATGGAGTTTATGCTTTAGAGGAAATGGAGAGGGAAAAAGGATGTTTAAACTGGCAATCCAAAAAGCTACAAAAAATGTTGACAAATGAGGACATATTGCATGGTTTATCAATTCTCGCCATGAACTTGCCACAGTAGGTGGCCTACTCTGTGAAAACATTCCTTTCAAACTCAGAAAATTGGCTAGTGTGCGGATGCGCTGCGGTTGGTTTGAAACAGCCAAAAGTGGCCTTGTCTTTCTGGCTTTACACAATTCAATGCTTTGCACAGCGTGAGGGTAATTTTAGCCCTGCCGTTCTGGATCAGCACCTGGCTGTTTCTGGCTGGATATAATAGAAGCCTGATCTGAAGCACTCAGACACAGCTAGATGTCACATGAACCTATGGCTGGTGTGATGTCATACTAATTATCTCTCATGTCACTTAGGTGTGCAGGGGTAGTTATGGCACCAGGAGGTGGGGAGGGTTTTCCGGGGGATGGATGTCTTTGATTATCTGGATATCTCTGCTAACTAGTGGTAAGAAGGGACAGGACTTGGCTGAAACTGTGAGGCGGGAGACAGGAAGAGAAGATGCTTACATTATGGCATTGACTTGACGGTCCAAGCGAGGGGAGGTACAGCCCAGAATTTCTCCCGGTGACAGAGGTCGACACTGTGGGACCAGCACATCATACTCTGGTTTGAGGGCTGCACTCACAGCCTGCAGAATAAAACAAGGAGAGGAAAGGATATTTAGAGAAGTACAGGTTTGAAAGCCTTTTCAAAATTAGAGCCATGAGGTAAAGAGTCAAACGAATCATGACTCGTACACATCATTCGAAGTTAATAGCTAAACAGAAACCATGCAATAAGACCAGTAAAAAGTGTTTATAGCCAAATCTGTTTTTCTTCTTCATCTTATGACAGAAATTGAAAAAGAGTCATCAAATGCAGGAAAATCATAACATTTAATATGCTATAGATATGTGCATAAATACAGGCACTCAATAGCATGAAGAATTGGATTAATGAGGAATTAGATTTGTCTTGTTTCATTTAAACCGCACATTTACCCTAATGTATGGCATATCATACAAAAAATTATTATAACAATGTAAGTGAATAGAGAGCGCATTCATTTTCCAAACATAAAAGATTAGTTTAAGCAACGTGGGTAAGAGAACAAACAAAAACATGAAAAACACGAGTTAGTGTGCATGGAGGTGGAAAGACAAATTAATCGATAGAAGGCTAATTTAAGAAAGTCTACAGGGAATACGGGTGACCTCCCATCTTCTCCCGCCCAAACTGTGTGACCTCAACAAGCCTACACACACACACACACACACACACACACACACACACACCATAAGACATGAGCGAGATGGAGGCTCAAATGCATACAATACACAAACACTGAGATATATTGTATATATACGCATGGATGCACTCAATCACCCCAACATATAATATAACCCACATGGGCAGAACGTGGTGTAAAAATAACGGTGGTTACATTAGTGAAAGTGGTGTTGGTTCAACACAACGAATGAACGCAGCAGAATGCATTGTAGAAGAGAGTGGCAGCGGGCCTGGAAAAAAGATGTTTAAGCTTAATACTATAGCTGCTGCCACTGCTTATGTAAAGAGCAGAGCTGAGCACGACGCTGAACTGAGAGCCTTCCGAGTTCATTGCCTCCTTTCAATCCAAAATAACTGCTGCCGGATTTCTCAAACCCACACTTGAACTGAGCTTAAGTGTGGACTGCAAGCTTGTTCATAAAGGCCATGTAACATATCAAGGATACTGTACAAATGCACAGAAGGTGTTCCTATCCTGTACATACAAAAATACATGGGGGGGGAAATGAAAATACACACAAGCTATTTATTACCATCACATCAGGTAAGAATTCCTATACTTTAGCTGTGTGACACAATAATGAACACACACACACACACAATCAAGAGCCTGTGCTTAATCACCTGCAGTGTTGCCACAAACTGAATAGTGCTGACGAGTGCCAGAGATTTTCCGGGAGGGAAGTTGAACTTGACCGTGTCCATGAAGTGCGCATTGTCCATCTGGATATCCACAAACACATACAGCATCTTAATACCTGCTGTGGAGTCTATGGGGACTGTAGGGGAAAGAAGACAAAAGAAAGACAGATGAATAATTGAGTCCGTTATGTCAGGTAAGCCTGCGGTATATACACTATTGATGGTGGTTCAAACATTAACACGCAGTGCATGTCCAGTGATACAGCTGTACAGAAACACAGTAAAGGCACATATATAGATCTCAGCAGGTGTGATATAACTGAAACTCATTCTGCATGAGTCTCCAGCACACGCAGGAACTGATGCAAATGCCTCAATTATTTAGGGTAGGAGAGGGACACATGCAATTACTATTAATGCCATTAATTTCACAGGCCATTTACTACGCCCCCCGGGCCTCCGAGAGGTAGCTGGAGACGTGTCGAGTTAGATGCTGAAAAAAGTAGCGACAGTCCAAGATAATAGGGGGAAAGGACTAAGAATTATCCTCTACGTTGATCATCTTAATTATTCTTCCTCTTGTGTTACATTTAATTTGCAGAGGGGACTTTTTTTGTTATGATTAAGCAAATGGCCCATTATGGTGCAAATGTTTTACGAGTGAGTGCAGCTCACTTGATGGCCTAGATTAAAGCAACATTAGAGCGAGAGATGGTGAAGCAAAGAAGAAAAAGAGGGTGAATAGAAATGGGAGGACAGGGAGCGACAGAAGATCTGAGAGATATACGTCTTTACAAAAGATTGAAGGCAGATTGGATGGAAACCAGGAGGGGGATTGAGAAATTCCATTGATAGTAAGCTGGAAAACCCTGAAATTCAATTTGTGAGAGGGGTAGTACATTTAATAACTTAGTGTATACATTCCAAAAGATAGGGCATGGATGAGAGGAGAGGAAATACAGGATACTGTGTGCGTGTTTGAAGGAGATGGGGGGGGTGGGTTGTCAATTAGCTGGCAAGAGAAGTGATGAATGTGCTCAGCAGAGATGGAAAGAAGAGATTTAAAAAGGTGCGCTTTGCTGCAGGCCACATGTTTGGTGAGAAACCAAGGAGTTAAATATATCATGAGACTTAAAAGGACTGGAGGAGTTGAGTAAAAAAAAACAGACTGAAACTAACAGCTATCTGTTGCTTGTTTATAGGCACTCTGAAAACGTAAAGGGCAAAGAAAAGGGACATCGATCTGTGTTCACATTAGCACGGTAGGCCGAGAGCACTTAGGCCATGCAATTAGAGACTCGGTCAATGAGTGACAGGACTCACTTGCCCTATCGTCACCCCAGTGGTCTTGTTCATCTGTGTGTTATAGCCATAAGGTCACTCAGCAAAGCAGCTTATTAGCACCCATGTAAACAAATATGCAAGTACATTCTTAGCAAGTGGGACTAAGAAAAGGTTGGACATAATGGAATACTAGCTTATTCACAAGTGGATTGTTAACAGATCAATATGTACAAACATCTTTCATTTTATATTCTGCTAGTGGACAACTTGATGAATAATACAGCAAGTTGGTGTCTGAACTGATTTATGTCCAATCTGTGGAAGTACTACCTTTGACATATCCAAATTCTGCTTATACCTCACTCTAATGCAAATATTTCTGTTTGCACTTAAACAAAAAAAGTGTTGTTTTATTATGGTTGCTATGTGGTTAAAAAACAGGTCTTTAAGCCCCATAATGATTGGTCATAAGGGAAGTGTTACCTTGCCTGTTATATCTTAGCGTCATGCTAGTACACATCTCTAACAAATGTTGCCACCTTGGATAAGTGTTGCCTTCGAAGCTCTATTTGAATGACTCATGCCACTAAAATAGTGAGCAACTGCTTTTGATGTGTAAGATGGTTTAGTTTAGCAAACATGTATGGCAGCCAGCCTGAAAAGGGCTTCTTAGATTTTATTTTCATCTCCAGGCACTTTTTCCAATTCAGTAAATATACACAAAACAAGTGTTAAATGAATTGTTTCTCCTCCCTCGCGAGCCATCACTTTTTTTCCTGTTTTTTGTTCTGACAGAAATGTTGTAAAACAATATGTTTTTAAAAATGTTGTTTACATTTTAATAATGTTGAATAGAATTCCCATCATTCATATCAGCAAGCATTTATATTACTTAAAAAAAAAGCATGATTTTATGATGTTGCCCATATTGCCCTGCAGTAGATGGAGGAGCTTTATGAGGACAAAATATGAGATTGCACCAATATTCACAAAAGCAGATACTGCAGAGGAAATGAAAAGGTGCACTGTGAGTCGCTCAGAACAGTGTCCACACACACACACACACACACACACACACACACACACACACACACACACACACACACACACACACACACACACACACACACACACACACACACACACACACACACCACACACACACACACACACACACACACACACACACACACACACACACCACACACACACACACACACCACACACACACCACACACACACACACACACACACACACACACACACACACACACACACACACACACACACACACACACACACACACACACACACACACACCTTTGAAAATCTCTTCTATCAATTAATATCTGATCTGAATTCAAGATGAATTGATCTTTGGTGCCTTCATCGCTGCTGGTTTGGTGTGAATGAGAATGTGTACACATATTATCTCTTTTGTAGACTTACAACAATTCAATCAAATCATTCTTTCACAAATATCAAGAAGTGAAAGTGCACACACCTACAGACAAACAAGCAAACACTTAAAACAAACAGAAACACAGACACCAACACAAAGAGAACACAGTGTTTCGGTGATTTAAGATTCTGTTGGTCAGTTCTGGTATTTGGGAGAGGGGAGATTGTTCTGGCAGGGATATATCAAAACTATTGATTTAGCATTTCCTCCCATGTTATGCAAGAGACAGACTGCAGAGTTTGAAGGTCCTCAAGAACTGCTTGAGGTTTTCAAAGGACGGCACTAATGCATGTTCCCTATTGATCCGCAGGGTAAATGTGATGTCCGGGCTCCAAAGGTCTGATATGCCTCCTATGCTAGAGCTAGGCGGGCTTCACTAACTAGTTACGTTTTCCTTTGATCGATAGCTCGGCCTGTATCGGACTTCTTTGTGGTGCAGCCCACACCAAGTAGCTGGGAGCCCTTGGTGCTTGTTCCTCTGGGTGGTATAATCCTACATGCAGAGTGACGGAGAGACAGACACACATGCACACAGGCAGGTAAAGGGACTCACTTAGACAACTGTGGCCGTAGTGCACCATGAAATCGGCTCCCAGCGCTCTGGCGGTGAAGTCGTCCACACAGCAGGCCCCGTATGTGACGTCCCCCATCACGATGGTATCTGCCTCCGTAAACCTGGGAAGTACACACATGGAGACACTAATCGGTGCAGTCACGGACCATATGCACATCCAGTTGTTCGTTACCATGGCGATCAATACCATAGCATGCCCGGCACAGCGTGATTATGAGAGAGCTGAATGAGATCGATCCCTATCCACTTGCTTCAGATAGAGTACACTATATGGAATCTGACAGCGTTGTCAGTCAATGAGTGACTCACAGCTTATCAGAGTGACACGCTGCTATTCCTCTGCTCCTCATGACCGGCAGCCAAAGGCCCGAATGCGGCACAAGCTGTCTGATGACCTATTAACCCTCGCCTGGCAGTGCTTTACTAGACAGCCTGACCACAGAAAGGAGGCTACACAAAAGGAAGAAGCAGTAGGAAGGGAATGACTGGTGCACAAAGGCAGATTAGAGTTTGGCCCAATCCCAAACCACGCCCTACCCCTACACACTCCCCCTCTGTGACGTAGTGAACTTCGTGGAGTGACACTCGCAGCTCAATGAGGCTCCCTCCTGTCAGATGGAGGGAGTAAATACAGCGGCAAGCTTTGGGACAAACTCCCCTCTCTCCGGCAGAAACAGGAAATGCCGTAACTGTATGTAACAACGGTTTCAAATCAGCATCTCTTGGACAAAGAATTAAAATGAATAACTCAAATAAAACTCCAAACATCTTTAATTGTGTTTTAAACCTGATTTTTTATAAGCTTCTTCGTTTTTGCAACAGTCTGTAAATATACACAACTTTATAATAAAATGCACACATTTACCTTTTTCTAGACCAAACACAGGTATACGATCCTAAGTTAAACAAATATGAGGTTATCATGAGGTTGTTAACATCGCAATTTATCAGTGGATGTTTGCTGGAACTGTTTGTAAACAGCGTGTTTCCTGACGGACACACACAGCGTTGAGAACAGCACTTAATGTGGCGGACCCTCCGCGCGAACGGAGTGTGTAGGGGTAGGGGGTGGTTTGGGATTGGGCCCTAATATGGGCCTTGGCTTACACTATCTGTGGCATGGATTTACTGCACACCTGCCAGGGAACTAGAGAAACATGCACCAGTTAGTGTTTGCCGCATTAAAATAAAATAGTAGATGCTTTATGCCACAAGTAGGTTGCGAGAGCGTAACACTTCCCATATGAGCCTAATGTTCCACTTTGCGGCTGTAATATAATTTCTTTTTCATGGCCTTCTTGAGAAGGAAACTACCAAATTACACTTGCATCTGTGGACCCAGATCTGTTAGAATGAATTGCCGATCCCACTACAGAAAAACAAGTTCTTTCTTTTATTGCCCTTTATGGGCGAATGAAATGCTAAGTAAACCCTTACAGGCTGAGTAAAATGAATAAAGGCTGAGAGTTACAGGGAGGATGTGCAAATGAACAGAAGCTTGAGGCATTGTAGGGGGGGATATGGGTTGACGAGGGGGTGGTTGTTGCAACATTTTGTGGCTGTCTTCTGACAGATTTAGGCTAGACAGAAGGGGTAGAATAAAGATGAGACTTGGGGAGAGGGGCGAAGTGATCAAAAGACATGGCTGCACACAGAACAGCATCTCATAGTAATGTGTCTCCTGCTGCCCAATCTTTCAACGGACATCCACTCTCTCTGTTTATTCCTCAGTCTGCTCCTCGCAAGGGGCTTCAGACAGACTTTTCTATTTAGCCTCTCCTCCTTTATTTTCTCTGATGTAATCTCTGGTTTGAACTCTCTCTGGCCTCCACATCATCGTCCCCAAATGTTGCATTTTGTTTCTCCCTCTCTAGTTCCCTGTCCCTTCTCCTCTACTCTGTGCTTCAGTGAAGGGTAGTGCAGGCCAGCTGAGCCCAGGAAAACATAGACAGAGCAACTCATGTGGTAAATAAATATTTGCCTTCGAAGATTTGAATCAATTGCCCTCTCTCTTGTCAAGGTTTTAATGTCGTCAGTGTGTGTCTCTTTGTACTGCGTACACATGCGAATGCAGCAGGAAGGTAATTACGGGTTAGTAAAAATGATATAATCACACGAGGTTTTTGAGGATTGTGTATTGGTGCACTAGTTTGCTCATTCCCTGCAGTCCATTGTTCTTTCATCACATTCCACTGATTTTGTTTGGAGTTGCATAAACGTGCACGAACCTTTCAGCTAAAAATACACAGCCTGCCCACCACGAAAAAAGAGAGGTTATTCCATGCAATCCACAGCAGATCATCTACAATGCAAAACACAACACTGACAATTATTGTATCTAATCAGCCAGCTATCTGCCAGAAATAACGTTATCAATGTATCTCTATTGGCACTGCATTTTCTCAGGGTAAGTACTCTGAAATTTCATGGTAATAAATGCTAAGGATCCGATTAAAAAGCCCATAAGAGACATGTGATGCTACTGGGACATCGGCAGAGTAATTACTGGGCAACGTATAGACCTATATCCCACTGGGAGAGAGGAAAAGAGGGAAGACAGAATGAAAGATCGTATTAGAGAGAATTATAGAATGAAAAGTGTATCAGTTTTTTCTAAAAGCACAAGCTACGCATCTCCTTAGAAATACCATACGATTGGTTGGTAGAGCGTACATTCCCTCCAGTAGCTTCCCATTCATTCCTCTCTACATCTCCTCTACTGCTCTTCCTTTTCGCCCCTTTCTGGCTCGCACTAATCTCTGGTGTCAGTCACTTTCTGGATTCCTTCAGTGTATCAGCGCTGGTTTTGCCTCATCTCAGGGTACTCAGTTCAGCCATACCAACTGAAACGTCATTAAGATCTAATTAAGATGTCAGAGAAGCTTGCGAACTCCATAACAGCCCTTGTTAATTACCTCTTTAGCATATAGCTCAATATGTGTGAGAAACTGCTAACCGATCAGAATCTCTGCTGTAAGACCACTGTGTGTGTACACACACACACACACACACACACACACACACACACACACACACACACACACACACACACACACACACACACACACACACACACACACACACACACACACACACACACACCACACACACACACACACACACACACACACACACACACACACACACACACACACACACACACACACACACCACACACACACACACACACACACACACACACACACACACACACACACACACACACACACACACACACACACACACACACACACACACACACACACACACACACACACACACACACACACACACACACACACACACACACACACACACACACACACACACACACACACACACACTTTAGGAAAATGCAGATAATGTTCACACTGAGACTCAGGTTTTCTCTTGGGCCTATCAATTTATGTAAAAATGACAGTTAAAAAAAGGTTCTTATAATGATCCTTAACCTGGAAAACAGTATTCTCTGTAACTCTTTGTCTGGCTGAACAATACAATTAGAGTTTTACAAGTTTTTATTGTTCTATTTTTCTGCATAGACATTTCCAGTTGTGTTTTTGAGAGTCAGTGTATTAGGTTGGGGGGGGACATTTCTGCTAGATTATTTCTTCAGGTAAGTGGAAAGACTGAATTACAACAAGCAGTCATTCACATTTGAAACATTAAGATCTACATTAATGACCCATAACTCAAACATTATTTTGTCAGATATTCCCAAGGTCAAACAAATGGAGCTATGTCAAAGTTAGACGCTTTACTTTAATGTAGAGCAGCTAAGGATGTACACTAATCAATTATGTCATTTGTATTAATTTGCCAAGAAACAATTCATGTTTCAAAAAACAATTTGTATATCTTGTTAGTTATGTTTGAAGCAGTTCATTTCAAACGGCATATCTTTGTCATTGTGTAAGTGGAAATGGCCTCAACATGTATAATTGCTAGTCATTGTTTTTTATTTTCTTAACCATCAACATTAGCTGTATCTAAAACTGTAGCTAGAATTGTTATGACAAACAAATCATGTGTAATAAAAATCACCAAAAATCCTAAAGTTTACAGTGACACAAAATGAAAGTAAGATGACTTATTGACTTACTTACTTACAGTAGATACAATGCTGCATAAAAACACACACATCTAAAGTCATAAACATTTAAACACAGTAAGACATCAATATAAATAATATTGTGATATTTGATTTTGTACATTATTGAATAGCACTACAATGGGCTTCTTGTCCTTCCCCATCCCAAGTGACCCAGAGACTATGTTAAGTGCTTTGCTCAAGGACAAGGCAGAATGGGAAATTAAGTGTAATGCTGGATTTCCGAACCTGAATGTTTCCCTTCTGGTCTCCTAATGTTAGGGAAGCACTGGCAGTGTTAACAAACTCTAATGATTCTGATGCTTCACTATTCTGATAGGTGGAGTGCAATCAAACCCATTGAAGAAGAACAACAAGCTGCTTTAGTGTTGCTTGACATGCATTTGCTTGGAGGGCCTGTGAATGCTCGACAAGCTTGAAAAATAAAATAAAAACTGGCGACAGTTAAACTTTCCATCTGCTATCACCAGGTGGGCCAATCCAATTGGCACATTGGAGGCTTCTTTATTTCCCTGCTGATGTGATTTTTTTGCACTGTTTATTTTGTTGGCCAAGTGCAATCTGGGTGAGAAAATGACTAGAGCTTTGTCAAGCTATCCAGGTTCCAAGTTCTGCATCACTTGGGGTCATCACAGTACTTTTATGCTACCTAAGTGTAATTTTCAAACCTGATTAGCATTTGCCATCTAATTAAGTCATAAATTATGTAAAGTTATTACAGGGAATACCAGAAACCTACCAAGTGTTGTTCTGGCAGCAGCTTGGTAGTTATCACTGTCCTCTCACAAAAGATAGTTCTGGTTTTAATCTTCAGCCAAAGCTCTTTCTATTTTAAGACTGCACGTTTTCCCCGTGGGTTTGTGGGTTTCCTCCAGGGGCTCACATGCAAATGGTTTTCTGTCTCTAAATTGCCAAAGAGGATCGTGAATATGTTGACCCCGATGGATTGGAAATCTATCCAGACTGTTTCACCGCCTCTCACTGAGAGTG